ACTATGTGTAATCTACATTATTAGGATTATAAACATTATTTTGTATTGTTTTGTGCGAGGTCAATAAACCTTAAACTGGATAACATCAAATATGATATAAAATGAGGATCAACGCTTAAGATAATAGGCGATTATTAAATTTTGAGAATTAATGAACCACGAAATTTTAGATGTGAATAAAAATGCCTAACGAAGGCGACGGACACGACTAGACAAAAACAAATCTGTGACAACGCAGATAATGGAGGACGAATAGGACACATAAAATATTTTGACGTGAAAACGTCTTTAAAATCGATGCCCAAACGAGCGACAGTTTCTGTCGAAGTAATTTCAAACTTCAATAACTCGGCTAAAAATAGACATAGCGCCGCCATATTAGTCTCGTTTTAAAGAGGAAGGCTGAAGGTTTGTGCCAGTACCGCTCCGACATTCGTGGCGGCCGGACGTCGCGAACTGCGCAAGCGCAAAATGAACCCACGATTTTCGACTTTCCGGATTCGACACGTGCCCATAAACGGGATCATATCTCAGAGACTAATTATTCGATCCGAGTGAACCAAGTGTTGTTTTGAAGAGGAGTGTATATGTTACAACTCCTCCTGGCCTCCAAGTGTGTATCTCAAAAACTCAAAAAGATACGAGGCTGTGAATGTGAAAAAGTTTGAAAATTTCCCGATTTCCTTGAAATGTCGCGATATATGAGGGCAAAGTACTACCAGAATTACAAAACTCGGGCACGAATGGGTAGAGCACAACACTTCAAAGAAAATGACACCCATAACGTCGCGCCCGGACCCAAAACCAACGCGCAGTACTGTCGCGAATATAGGCAACGTAAGCGCTCTCGGACAACTCAGGCGGCATCTGACGAGCCTGCGTCAAGTATTGATGAGGACTTCGTTGCTGATGAAATGGAGAGTGTAATGGAGTTCGACCCAGACCTATCGGACCCATTTGGTATACCCAATATGGCGACGGACGGCTAGAACAGCGGAGGAAAAGTATGATGGTGTCTAAACGAACCAGCGATGAAACGGTCAGCGTTTTACTTTCACTTCCAATTTCCTTATTCAGAATTAAACCAGGAAGACGTTGGTTTCTTTACCCACCAACCACTGCGCCGGTAAGAACGTTCCGCATGAAGGATTGCCGTAAATTGGCGATTTAAGAGCGACTATTGAACTGGTTTTCCATTCAATTTGGTGTTTTTGAAGAGGGTCATGTCAAATACCACGATGGTCACATAACTAAAAGTAGCAATCTTAACCTCTGGTGACCAACTATACAAAATTCTGGAAACGAAGATGGCTGAAGGAGAAACATTTCTGCCCATTAACTGGGAGACGAATGTCGTCTGCTCAAGTTTACAGTGCAGTACATGAAATGGAATTTGACTGACTTTTAGCCGTTCTATTTAGCAGCGATGTTCTAAATATATAGCGTAAAATTGTATTAATGACAGGGTTGCAGCCTATTTCAGAGTAATATCTCCGTATTCGTCTAGAGAGACTGAGAAGAAACACGGAACTCTATTAAAATACAGCTTTTACTAAACTGAATTCGATCCGTGCACTTTCAGGTTACAGGTAAGATCTCATCAGTAATTACTGACTGAAAGAACTAAGGAAAATCGCGATAAATCGTAAGATATTAGGTCTCACATTCGACATTAAATTATCATGAACCTGCCTGGAACACTGATTTTAATCATAGAAAGAAATTAAACACGTGTAGAGAGAGACAAGAGAATGCAAAAGAATTGTGTGTTGAAAAGACATTACGACTTGAAGCCAGAAATTACGTACGATGTGCATTACACCCACCTGAACGACTAACTTCTCCGACATGTTCAGATTTAGAAGAGCAATGACTGACCCTGATGAAGGAGGCAGTAGGAACCTCCACAGCGTCCAGATGACACGGTGTAACATCGCGAAAGACCAGCACATTCATACTCGCCATGTACAGACCGAATTCAGAACAGAATCTCGTAATTTTCGTAGACGGATCACAGGGACCGAAAATATGACTTCATTCAGAACTTGAATGCATCCGAAACGTCGTTTGTAAACGTGACAAATATCTTCCGAACTCGTGCATTCGCTTCGTAGATACTCTGCTATTATTTCCTGAAAAACAGCGGATTATTCGCTGTGGCCTACGATCCAAGGCGAGGTCTCAACATTCCCGAGAGACCACGGGCCGCGACGTAATTTAAAACAGCGACAAGCTCCCAACATTCTCTTCGAGTCTTTTCATTTGTACAGAATTCTTCGTTAGTTTCCATCGTCGAACAACAATTAAGCGATTTATTAATTTATTTTCAATGATAATACTAAAAAAAAAACTATTCAGAAAAAAAGATAGAAAAGTGTCTTTTCAGTTAGACAGTTCATAGCGCGGTAAAGATTAATAACCATTACTTTCGCTTCAAAGTAACATCTCATGTTTCTCATCAAATAAAAATATTTTCGGGGCACACAAAATAGATTATACTTCCCACCATCGTTTGCCCCCACTCAGCTTTCCCTGTGCGGGGGGGGGGGATTTTTTTTTATTTAGTGTTCTGTCTGACGACAGGCGACAGTTCCATATGAACAGGATCCTTCCATCCTTTTCTCGGACTGGGACCTGTTCATATACGTTCTTGGCAGATGATCCAGAAGTGGTTTGCCATTGCCTTCTTCTGTGTGTGAATGAAGTAATTGTTGGGATGCCACGGAGGAAAACTCCGTGTTGCCTAGACCACGGCCATGCCCAACACAAGTTATAAATTCGAACCCGAGACCCCAGGATTACAAGACCAGCGTTAGCAATCAACTAGCTTGATCGTATTTCAGTGGGACCTATTACAGAACTCATTTGATGATAACCACAGCAACATGAATGACCTATATTTGAAAGTGGGCTGATTCACAAAACATGGATACTATGGATTATAGACACTTCTATAATTGCACATAGCACTGTCTTGTAAATATTATTTTATTTTATTTTATTTAAAGACCCTTCTGCAGTAACTCGAATGAGAGGATGATCGTATATAATGAATTGGAAAGGATGTGGAAGGAAGCGGTCGTGGCCGAATTTAAAGCACTATCCAGGCATTTGCGCACAGCTAATCAGAATTTACTTTGTTACAAATTATACCGGAAAAGGTGATACGGCAACCTCAACGCCAGCTGTAGTATCGTTACTTTTTGTAACGACTGTACCAAGAGCTGGCAAAGTGAAGTTTAGATTAGAGCAACTTGCGAAGTGAGTCCCGGCATTTGTGGTTGTATCGGAAATGTTATTCGTGCCACCTAACACGATTTGGTCTGCATATTTCAGTGAAAGTGTTCAAAGAGGTATGCACAAATGCAGAGACTAGAAACCTGGAAAAGTTTTATTTTTAAAACTTTCCACAAATTTCGCTCCAGTCCGTAAAAGCACTAGAGCCTACTTGGAAACATTTTCGTAATACAATTAACACGTTACTTATTATTATTACTTAGTGTTCTGTCTGACGACAGGTCCATATGAACAGGATCCTTCCATCCTTTTCTCGGACTGGGACCTGTTCATATACGTTCTTGGCAGATGATCCAGAAGTGGTTTGTCATTGCCTTCTTCTGTGTGTGAATGGAGTAATTGTTGGGATGCCACGGAGGAAAACTCCGTGTTGTCTAGACCACGGCCTTGCCCAACACAAGTTATAAATTCGGGCACCGCCGGGAATCGAACCCGAGACCCCAGGATTACAAGGCCTGCGTTCTAACCGCTAAACCACCGTGGCGTAATTAACACGTTACGCTGAAGTATTTTCTTTAATTAAAAATTGACATTTTTTTTTGCAAGTATTTGAATTACTAAAAACAGTGTTAAACAATTTGAGGTTTTTTGACTTAAAAGACAACTTCACAGAAATGGGGACTCTGAAACCACAGAGATGTCTCGTATCGCTTACCTTGTGCGAAGCCAGAAAATATGTCGTGGAGGGTCGGTAGATGAATTGCGATAAATACATGCGTGAAGCATTTCAATAGGATTCGTTACATCGTCACTGAAGTAGGCGTGTTTAACAAGTAGAATCATGTGACAATAACCTGCTTAACATTTATTTAAATCACAAAATACTTATGAATTAGGAAAATACTTTTGAGAAGTATTTGTGTAATATTTTTAAACTTTCGTCAAATATCATATTCTTGGCTTTATTCCGCCATAAAATATGTTTACTAACAATTTTCCAGTCGCAAAACTTATTAGGCAAATATTCTCGTGTAACTGGGACCGGTTCGTCGAATTTCCACACTTCTTGCGATTTCAAAATTATTCTGATTTTCTTATCTTCCCGAATTCTGTCTAAAAAAAACATAAGTACATACTGAAATAGGCATACGCATAGCTAAGATTTTATCTGCTGTTTTATATGGATGCGAAACATGTTATTTTGCATTAAATGAAGAATACGGATTGAGGGTGCCCGAGATAATATTTAGACCCAAAGCAGGGCGACGTTAAAACTGCTTGATGAGTGACATCGTAATTTGTACGCTTCATTAAATATTAATAGGACTACAATAACAAGCAAATGGAGAAAAAAAGTTAAAAGTCAGAACCACTGAAACTTTTTCAGTACACAGAATCATTTTTCGCGTAAGCATTTACCAGAAACAGATTCGTTGGCTTATAAACGTTTTATCTCAGATAATTTGAAGACGCAAAATGCCATTACAGTTTAATTTTTAGTTGTAGTCTTTTGGGCTACATCGCCGAACGTTTTTTTATGAAATTTTCTATGTTTCGACATAAAATGTCGCTTCCATCTTCCGGGTGGTTTTACTGGTTTCCGGCTTATGAATGTGATGGTGATTCCTGCCATTTGCTATCGATACTCGAGGCACGAAGCAGCTGCAGCGCACGCACTGGGGGGCAGAAGGTGGCGTCGACGCGGTCTGTGATCTTCGTGGGTGAAAATGAAGGGATGCTTGCGCCTGTCAGTGCTGCGACCGGCCAGCTTCCGTAAGCAGGCTCCAGTCAAAAGAGATTCGAAACGCGTGTACCACATCACGCGGGCAACAGTGACCTCTGAACTTGTTCTCTGTAAGTGTAAAGTTCATTCTGACCTACCGAAATCAGTGTTGTTAAGTATCAATTACCGTATGCGTGTAAGTTGATTGATCGGAAATGTCTTTAAAATATTATATTAACTCTGGAAAAATAAGATCATAACATCCTGTGAAGAAATGGCGTTTCAGGTTGTAATAAATCCGTTATGAATTAAAATAAGTCGTCATACGTCACGTGTTGTGGTTAGTACATCAGATAGGCGTTTCGAATTAGTCCGGCTAGTCTATCCTGGTTTTATTCAGGCACTCTCCTTTTAAATGCAACTAGAGTGGTCTAATTGTTCAGTGACTTAAGAATATGTTGGCCAGTCTTTGTGAAATATACAAAAAAATAATTTCACACATATTTATTTATTTTTTTTACAAATTTTGATATCAAAACATTTATTTGTTTAGTATAGAATTACATTCACTTTGAATTTATATTCTTATTGGCTCATATGGCAAGCGAAATTCATCTTTACCTATTCAAATACCCCGCAATATTTTTCTTAGATTTTCATTCTGCTCGCCTTTTATGCCTAAGGCATTTGCATTAGAATTTCAAAAGTTGAAATAACCTTCTCACTCTTGTTCGTCTCATTTACATTTTGTCCAACGACGCACAAATAAAATCAAAATCCACTAACAGCTGTTTCCTTCGCTTTGCGGAAAAGAATTGAATTCTAGCGTCAAAATTGTTCTTGCCGCCATCTTGTAAACGTGTGTGCGCTCTCAGATACCCGAAGTAATTGCAGTTTTTTTGTTTAACTTTTCAACAGGAATTATTTATTATTCACCATGAAACAATAACATTTCACTCTACTTACAAATTTTGATAAGAAAATAGAAAAGTATTCTTCAATGAAAAAATATTCTCGTGAAATATGCGCAATTAAAATTTGTATTATCTGAGGCCAAAACTAACATAAATTCAAAAAAGTGCGTCTTTAATTTATCAATTAAAATTTGTATTATCTGAGACCAAAACTAACACAAATTCAAAAAAGTGCGTCTTTAATTTACAGTACACGTAAATTGTTAACTAATTGTGAAGCAAATTAGTTAATACGCCTAAATTATTTTGCTGAATCACTATTAGAAAAATCATACATTGTGACACACTTCAGGGCAATTCAGGGTGGACCTATCACCTTAAAGTAGGCCACGACTACCAGCTTTTTCTGTGTTACCCACTCACCATTTAAACATAAACAATTTACGTAATTTGAAGTATAGAAAATTGTGAAAAGTATGTAACTGAGAATCTTTATAATCTAAAGTCTTTACCAGATATTATTTCGGCTAATTAACAGTATGCGTTCGAGACATAAGAAACGAGAGACCTATTAAGATTTAGTAGTACATGGAAGGATAGTAAAGTGGTTATTAAATAAATAGGACACGTGTTTATGAACTGATTTCATTTAACTTGTACACTGACCAGTGGCAAATTTTGTGAACGCTATAATGAAATTTGGGAATATTTTAAACACTCTAAAGATTAAAAGGTCTGGTTACTTAAAGAGCCATTTAAACTGGTAGTGCTTATATAGTTAAGTTTGGCATCGGAGTCATTCCGTGCGTTCTCGGTACACAAATCAAGTTGCCATAGAAACGTACCTGGTTTAGGAAAGTAGACGATCATCAATCAAGAACGCTCTCCTAATGGCAGGACTCCACGTATGTAGACAATTCGGACCCGGGGTTCTGGTTAATCTCAATGCCGTTTGTATTCTTCCACGATCTCGAAAGAATGCGTCATAAATAGCCCACGACTGCCTCATCCGAAAGTGTTACTTCCTCACAATTTATTCAATTTAATCAGAATAATTTCAACAGCTTCGAGGACGCAACATGCAGACGGACGGACACACGATCTGTCCTTTGTTTTAATTTCGACCTGCAAGATTCTACCAGCTTAATTCGGAGAACAACTGTTGTGTTAATTCTTACTGAAGGAAAGTTGTTCTTATATATTTTAGAAACATCTGATACGAAAGACACTTTCAAGGCATCTCATATAAGATATTGGTCGTTATAGGCTGTATTTACTTGTAATTCAAATTAGTGAAAAAATGTTTTACATTATCTCTCGACAGATAAAGAGAGGTATGTAAGGTTTTTAAAAAACAAGGAGTAGAAATCTTATTTAAATAAAACCAAGAATTGAAACGATTATTAGCTTTCTGGATTCTGACGTCACGTGGGCGTGTAGAATTTTAGTCTAACCAGATTTCGTCGAAGCCCGGAACAAAGTAACTTACAATTTCGCCGCTTCAATAAACAAAAGATGTTAATTCGAAAATTACGTAACGTTATCCTCTAAATGCAAGACAGTGCCATGTTCCGAAGTGAATAGAAGCTGCAAAGTTTTCTCGTCGTCTTGTTTTAACGTTTCTTTGTCGAGACTTGGACACGTAAAACAAACGACAGTTCTGCAGAGACACGTTCAAGTTCGTGAGATGCTTTGATTTATAAATTTGTCAGTGGCTCGAGTATTTCATGTTTACGATTCATACATGTAACTGATTGTATCGTATTAGATCGGATTCCAAGAAACGGCGTGCGTTATTACTCGGCGTAATGAATTTCTTTTGTCTGAATAATCTTCAAAACGTCGTTCAAGATCAAAGCACTCTTCTGTTTGTAGGTTGCTTTGCATGTGGGTGTCAATAACTGCTGGGAAGAACACGGGGTAGCATTTATTACGACGCGGGTCTTTCGAGAAATCAATTTATTTAGATGTTACGAAATTTGGATTTTTTTTTCTCGAAAGCAACAAGAAATCACGAAACTCCCGATTCATATGATTTTATTCCTTTTGGAACGGCACTAACATTTAAAATTGTGTTCTGTAAGAAAATGTGAAAAAACTCAAGTACTTGGGGACGACACTTACAAGTCAGAATGAAATTCATGACGAAATCAAGAGCAGATTAAATTCAGAATAATGCTCGCTATCATTAATTTCAAAATCTTTTGTCCTCCCATCTCATATCAAAGAGTCTAAAGATTAAAATATGCAGAAGTGTAATTTTTCCAGTTGTGCTGTATGGGTGCGAAACTTGGTCTCTCACTTTCAGGGAGGAACATAGATTGAGGGTCTTTGAGAACAGAGTGTTAAGGACCTAAAAGGGAGTTAGACGGATCATAGAAAAAATTGCATAAAGATGAGCTTCACGGCCTCACCTGATATTGTTAGGGTGATTGAATCGAGATGGGCGAGACATGTGGCACGCATGGGGGAGGGGAGGGTGTTGGTTGGGAGGCCTCAAGGGAGGAGACCTCCGGGAAGACCTAGGAAGGCGTAGATGGGAGGATAACATTAAGATTGACTTTAGGAAGACAGGAATCGACAGAGCGAAATGGATGCAGCTGGCTCAGGATATATTCCGGTGGCAGGCTTTTGTGAAAACGGGGATGAACCTTCGGGTTCCATAAAGAAATTGGGCTATTCTTTGACAAGCCGAGTATACAATCGACTTTTCAAAAACTGTCTGTACCATAGTGTGGGTGATTCTGTAAGAAATCAAGAGCACATTAAATTGGGGGGAATACTTGCTAGAAATCAATACAGAACCTTGTCTTGTAGCCAGCATCCGAAAGATTGAAACCATTTTACGTGTTGTTTCAGGTGTAAAACTTGGCCTCTCACATTAGAAAAAAAGATTCACGGCGTCTGAGAACATGATACAGAGAAGAATATTTGGACTCGAGACTCGAATTAGTATTATTAAAAGAGGGCGATAGTGGATGATAAACATGTTCTCTTGGAACTAAATCATTTAAGAAGGAAATCTGTGTCCCTTTCCATACAGCCTATCTAATCTAACCACACGCATTATTTCTGATGCGTTTTATGTAAATTATTATCAAAACAGACTTATGATTAATCTAAGGAAAGCAAGAAAGTTACGTAATCAAATCGTACAACTGAATCCAATCACACACACTGTTCACAGTCTATTCAATTTGATACGAAATAGTAAAAAAAAAAGGAAAATTAACAAAACATTAAAGATTATTGTTACGCTTCTGGAGTGTATTTGCTTTGAGCTGTCCAGCTGGGGAAACTTTACGAATATTTGCGGCGTACAAAATCCACATATACAGTCGACGTACGAGGAGCACAATTTGTACACAAATATTTACGCAAAGCTGTCAGGCAGATCCTACCTCGGCCTTGGACGACTTTAACACCGGCAGGGGTCGCTGGTTGGAATCCCGCTTGGTACACAAGAGTTTGTCCACCTTTTAGGTTAGGTTAGCAACTAAACTTTGCGCCATGTTCGCTTCGCCATATCTGCCTTTCTGCGTGCAAAAACTCGAGAATCTCTTAAAAAGGATTTTCATTAAATTTTATGTTAAAAAGTTTTGGGTCACTGAAATATGTCGACATATTCCAAGTTTTGTTTAGATCTGACAACAATTTAAGGCGCTTTTAATGAAGACTTATAATTTTATCGATTGGTTACTCTCGTATTTTAATCACGCATTCAACCAATACCAGGCAAACTAGAATTAACGCGGATTTAATAGCAGGTTTTGTTCCCAATTAACGCGCCCGGTTTAACGCGGTTTCTGGGAAGGGTAAGACAATTCTATTGCGCATGCGTCTGTCTGCATTTTGGTGTTTATCACTCGGCTTTGTTGGTTGGTTTATTTAATCTTTGTTCCATGTCCGGAGTAATATAACAAAACAGCGCTAAGCTGGTGTTGGTGGCGAAATAAAGAAGCACGGAAATCCGTTTTTTTTAAACATTACGACAATAGAAACACGTGATATTGTCCGTGCGTTTTAGCAGCTTAAAATTCTGCGACGGTTAGAAATGAACTAACACGACAGTCACAGAGTTTCTCAATTAATCCACAACAGCGCATAAAAACTGCACGGAATATTTTTGTTTAAATCATGTGCGAGAGAGGACTGTATAAACAACACGTATCGCGAGTTGCCCGGTTTTGCTGAAAGTCTTAACTACTGTGATCCACCTAGATTCACATGTATGCTTTATGTCAATACCATGACCCACGGGAATATATCTACTTTGTGTTGAAGAGTGATGCTGTTTAATACACCATTACATTTGCAAACAGCACCGAAATTAAAGAAATGCATAAATTTTCTCTGTAAAATTAAATTACACGTGACAAAATCTTCACGCAAATTAAAGCCAGATATCTGCCAAACGCACCAACACAAAGCCGACCATCTAACTGCAGACGACTCAAAACTGCCCATCCCCTAAAAAAAATGACCATAGGCACAACAGCGTTCCTGCTACAAGAGCCGTCACCGTCAGAAATTACAAGTATTTTCGTATCGCACTAATGGAGTACTTTTACAGTTAAGCGTGATTAACACTAGATATTATACGAGGCGCGTCCTCAAAGTAAGTTTCCCTGGGGCCGTTTACAGAAACAAAACACAATTTCATGGAAATATTTATTGCAACAGATACAGCAAGTGTCCAGCTATTTTTCAACATATTCGCCACCGGAATTGAGACATTGGTCATACCGTGGGACCAACTTTTGAATACCTGGGTCGTAGAAGTCTGCCGCCTGGGATTGGAACCACTGTGTGACAGCCATCTCCGCCTCTCTGTCATTCTCAAAACGCTGACGCTGACGCTGACCGGACAGGAATTTCTTGAGGTGTAGGAAAAGATGGAAATCACTGGGAGCGAGGTCCGGGCTGTAGGGTGAATGATTAAACACCTCCCAGCTGAACTCCTGCAGGAGACTTGCTGTCCGTCGAGCCGTGTGCGGCTTAGCGTTATCACTGACCGCACTTCACAGTCGGCGGGAGCTGGAATAAGAACCTCCCTCTTCAACAGCTGCAACGATGCTACTGTGAGAACGCGGGAGGTGCCGTTAGTGCATGCGCCATGCTACGTCATTGCTCTATCACGTACGCACAGTCGCTTCGCGCAATATAAGGTTTGCTAGCTGTGGGACGAGTGGGAAACTTACTTTGAGGACGCGCCTCGTACTACGAATATAAGATATGTTCTCTGTGATTAATGAAGTGTGTACCGTCTTAGATTTGTTCAGTATATTTTATTTTTAATTAAGCTTTCGATATCCATAATTTTCTTAACGTTTCATTCAAACTATTAAGAAACTTGTTCTAAAGTTTTTTAATCTTACTTTTGAAGTCGTCACATAGTACCCCCACTCTCAATTTTCTCCCGAGTGATGTTTTACTAAGCGGAACGGATGAAACAGCTAGCTAATATCCTGTAGAATAATTTACTTCAGTGTCTTGTTAACTAGTGCCTACGTTCATGTCTCAGAGAGAAAGTATGCGCTCTCAGTAATTAATGTATTCTCTTTCCTCTGAAAAGACATGATGCCTTATATAATTCTCGCCTGTTTCCAAAAATCGCACAATAATTATTAGCCCAGTTAAGAAACAACTCTTTAAACATTTCTGACACTATGACTGGCGTCTAAAAACCACCAAATGTGGCGTACAGGCAACTCTCTGTTTACGAAATTTCCCTATAACGAACGTCACAATTCATTCAAAATTTCTGAAAGTCTCCAAAAGACAGAGTTCCTTATAAAACGAAATGCCAAAGTCAACATAATTGTAAGATTTAAATAAATAAACTTTCAAAAAATGTATTTATTTACAATAATTATCAGAAAATTATTATATGATAATTAGTACATGGGTTAATGCTTTAAAACGGCTCCTAACGTATAGAATACGTATCGTAAAAACTCAGGAATGCAACAAAAACGTTTAACAAACAACGTCTTGGAACGGAATTCGTTTGTAAACCGAGAGTTGCCTGTAATTAACTAATTTCATTTAATGAAATTTAAAATGTATATTCTATTGAAAAGTGGTGCTTACATAGAAGAGACTTAAATATGCATTAACATAAAACCACATATCTACTTATTAAAACTTTCTGACCGTAACTTTGATGATGGTAATTTAATTATACATTCCGATATCTTTGGAATTTGTGAACGTAATACGCCTCTCGTGTTTTCAACACAAAGTCTATATAACGCCCAGGTTGTGCGGCAACTGCTCCTACACTACATTGAAGCAGGTAATCTAAACCGTATGTAACACCGTGGGCTATTACTGTTCTTAGTAATGCGATGCGATGCTCTTAGATCTTTGTGAGACGGAGCTTGTTCATCCCCGGGATGACACAGAGCGTATATGGAGCAGCTATGGTAGGATGTTGACAGGAGAAAAGGTGTCCTCTTGGTATTCTATCTACCGTAAATCCCACATGGACTGCCCTCGACATGAACCCGGTTCTTCGGGGAGAGATACTGATGGCTAACCGCCTGAGCTATGTCCCAGCCTGCAGTATTTGTCACTGCTGCCTTTCGACGACCTATGACCTTTGCAACTTCAGTATTCAGAATTCATCTTTGTTAACAGAACACTTTAACTGCTTTGTGTGTGCTAATTGGCAGTGTGTTGCCTTTTCTATCTGCCATGTGTTCAGTTCATTCCCCCCCCCCTCTCTCTATGCACAAATTAACACAGAGAGTGAAATTGAGGTTATCAGCTCGACTCTTAGTCGATATCAGATATCCTGAGGAATTCGATATGTGTAAACACACAGCTGTGCAGTGTATAAAATTTTACATGACTACATATAACTGCTCAGGATGGAAGAAATTCAAAATGTGACTTATGTTATACTTACGGTTAACATGTCACAAGGTTGCTATGGACACATATGTTTGCTTAAAATGAATAAACAGGCATATCGTAATAAAAGTAACTCGTAAATTTAAAGTCGATGTACTTTTAAACTTACGTTTTGTAGAATATCTTTCCACTAACCTTGTCGGATATTATTTCTCTCAAAATATGTTGCTTCAATTGGCAGTCTCAGTTAACCAACCATGCTGATAAAAATCTGAATCTTCGGAAAGTCAGAAACGGATAGAATTTCACTTAAGTATTGTGTTGTTTACAATTAGTGCCATTTTACAAACTCATTCTTGTAAACAAACATTACATTTCTTCAACCGAATTCATAAGTCATGGACACTCTTTGTTAATATTCGGCATAGGAGGTTAACCAAGAGACCGCTATTTTGATTAAGGGATTTTGTAGTTCCCGAGTCTGGACTAATGCCGGGAGAGAAATTTCCTTTCACATAATTTTCTCTTTGTCATTCCAGACAATCTTTAGACTCCAAAGCAGGAACATTCATAGGCAAAAAGCAGTCGTTGAATACAACTGTAAATAAAGTTATGTATTTCCTTCCCGAGCCATAGCGGGCCTGCACACAACATATCACACATCCCTGAGCGTTGCGAAAAGACCGTTCTGGACAATTTCATGGCTTTTTGTGAGACTAACATGTTACTTAATTCTACGAGTAATTAAGTTTAGGTTCAATAAAATCGGGTAATTTAATAAATGAATCAGTGACTACTAGCTTCTCAATGAGAAATTTACCCCATAAATTTATTTCCAGTTTCAAAAGAAGTTATTAAATACAATTTTGTCCTATTTTAACATCAACCACACACGTGCACAGAGCACTACTAAATTACTCACAGTTATGCAGCTAAAGGCAATCTGCCAGCTAAGACCATAAGCCGATACCTTTCTAAAACGAGGCACAGTTATAATAGTCATAACTCCTCAACGTTCGTTGCCATAGGCAAGTTGATAAAGACGAGGATTAACGCGTTTGAATACAGCCGTGATCTCTGTATGGGACGTATTTCAGGCAGTGAAATGGCAAAGGAATTATCGGATGTGTTGAGGCTTCGCAACTCAAACGACTGGGCGAATCTGAGCGCTCTCATCAGGCGACATCTCAACGAGAATGACATCTCTGGTCTGATTGACTACCCCAGTCTGGACATGGTAGATCCACCGGTGAAGACCGCCCTCGTCTGGATATATTCTCTAACAGCGGCGTTCAGCGTCGCCGGAAATGTCACCGCCATAGCCGTGCTCTCGTTCGGAAAGAGGTGAGTTGCTTCTGACACAGTCACGTGGATCGAGATTTATAAAAGTGAGCCCGAGGAATTTGGTCACGAGACGAATCGACTGTCGGTTAGCATTCCCGAGACAGACTATAACAATTAAGGTTGTCCGTCCTTTACCTCAGGCCCTCCAGGCTACTTTAGGGATATTACCTTAAATTAAACTACAGTCTCTTATAATAATACTTTCCAATTTGTCATTCACTGATTATCCTATCGTTCGATGCTCTTACGTACTGTGGCTATAATTTTGCTCGAAGCCCCACCGGAATACGTGGAAAATTGAACATAATTGCCACATTATTCGCGCTGAACCACCTACGAAAATGGGACTCTTAATGGAACTGGTTAAACAGGCTGTTTGTGAATGTGTGACCGCTAAGTATGAAGGTAAATAAATTAACAGACGTGTGAATCATACATCTGATGAATTTAGAGAAAACGAATATTGTTAAATCGTTAGTCCCAGAACCAAATTTAAATTGAACTGTCATTGCTATCGGAAAATTAAAATGTTGCTCATTTGCAGATTAGCACCATTTCAATTATTCAACAGCTATTTAAATATCGATATAATACCAACAAACTTTAAACCAGAAACACACCGAAAACTTTTCTACGTAATACATGTAATTAATGCATTCAGACTAGATTAAAATCTCTTACTGATTAAAAACGTAATAATTCTGATCCTGTCAAAAATCCTACAGTGATTTTTTTTGTAGTGCAGGAATATATTTGTACCAACGTAGATAATATCGAAATACTTATTACATTTTTATAATCGCTCATCGTTAAATGCGACCCTACTTATTAAAGAACTGAGTAAACTTTTATCTCAATAACGGTGCAGATACAAGTAATACGATTAAAACTTAATGAGGCGTGAAAGCAAAGTTGTTAAGTAAAAGCTGGGTTTCAGCATCAATCACATCTCCGAATACTATTATCCCAATTGAATGGAAGGCGATAGACAGGATATTAGTCTCGGCGTAATTTCTGTTCTTCAAAATATTATTAAAGTCTAAAGTTACACCGGGAATTTCTATCGCTTCCGTAATGTAAAAGAGATTTCCGTCCTTATCAGGATTATATCCGGCCTCTAGAAGACTTCTATTTTACTTTGTCTATCTTTCTTAGCAGCTTCAAAATTGCTGCCGTGTATAAATACTGGCATATTGACTTTAATATGGGCGTTGTGTTCCTCATGCAAATGGCATGCTAATATTCTTCTCATAGCTCTGCTCTCTCAAAATGCAATTAGGACACACATACACTAAATCATGCTTCTTTCTGATGTAATACTCTCTCTCTCTGTAGTTATTTTCCAATAAGCCAATAAATTATTTTAAAAATATGAGGAGATGTGCCAATATCTCCTAGCATACATGGACAAATGGTTTTTAGAGGTAACTGTTGAATTAAATATTTAAAATTGTATTTTAGATTGTACCCTCACCCCACAAGGAAAGGAAAGATTTATACCTGCGTGTGTGTGAATGTTATGAATTCCTCCGTCAAATCACTTCTGAGCCAATAAACCGTTTTTAATTAAATTACACATATACTGAGATAAATTCTTTCGGCGTTGCTCAGCTAAATTTCAGCCATTAACATTATATGGCCATGTTGGCCGCAGGAACTACGGAGTTATGGAAAACCTGTCGTCTTTCAATGCCATATCATTATACTGAACATGATCGTAGATTTGAAAAAAAAAATATTGGAATATTTTTCATATAAATTCTGTCCAAAGTAGGAGACGTCTCGATATATCCATCTGCTTTTTGGTTTGGTAATAATACCGCAATGAAGTCTTCTTAGGCGATGAAACTAGTGAAAATGGAGTTATGATCCAACGTTTCAAAGACTATCTGTGCTACCATCTTCAGGGCTGATCGCCAAAGAAGACTTCACTATATTCAGTTGTCGGAAAAATACGTACTCTATAGACAAATGGAATATTTACAGACCTGAATAAAATATTTTTTGTGAGTTTGTAAAATCTAATACCAGACTACACGGCGCAACAACCCAGAAGACAGGACTCGCCGTCGTGAAAAGCTCAAATCCTAAAAGTTCAGTGTAGTTTGAACAATTTCCCGGGTGTAAGATAAAACTTAAAATTCTAAATACGGAAGTGGCACTCAGCTTTTCAAACCAGACGCTAGAATAAAGACAATTCTGAGGCACAGATACTGCAGTTAACAGAGTTATACGGTATAATGCAATGTATCTGGATACGGCAGTTCAGATATAAAAACAATTTCCTTCATTGTTCTTTATTACAATCTCCCCTGAGTTCAAGATGCTCATTCCATTTCGTGGGTAGAGAGAAAATTCACCTAAAGCAGAATACAAAGTTTAAATGAGAATATATTTTTAAGACTGTCGAAATTGATCAGTCCTTATAGACACACCATTAAATCCCATTAAAGAAAGATTAGATGGGACAGCCAACTAGGTTTAACGCAAACTGCAAAGTTATACCTCGTTAAAGTCGCACATTAAACTCTAGACACTTAAACCTAAAAAAAAGTTTGTCTTTACTGGCTACTGGATTCTTTACTGCGTGTTACTTCTATGTAAATATGATCTCCCAGCGTCGATAATAAAATTTGTGCTCGTGTTTACTGTAGATTATCACAAATACAGATTGTAGTCACAAGCAGAATGTAATTTCGTGCTTCCTTGCAGTAAATATTAAGGTTGACTGCTTAATAATCTCATTGAGACACGTCCCTCCACAAAAAGTTTGAATTGTGCTTGTAGAATTAATTACGATACTGAATTCGACTTTACAATAAACTTCCTCTCCCTTGTAGAGAGGATTTGAAGTAGGAGAACCGTCACTTTGTGTTGAGTTTCCAGGTTAGGTTGATAATCAAGTTATTACAACTTTCAGGTATTTGGCCCACAGCTTGTATACGTTTTGGTCCTCTGAGATATCTCTCTTAGCCTGTCCGTCGTCTTGACGTGTTTGTCACTCCGATGATTTACCAACATCCCCTGCGACTTTGAGTCAATTTAAATGGGACAAATCTCGGTAGCAGAATCCTTTCTGAGAAGTTAACAGCCGGTCAGCTTTTCGAGAAATTCCCCCACCCATTATGCAACCCAAATGTTCATTACCGCGTTCACTAAAACCCTCTAAATTCGAATTATTATTCTTCAGGCAAGTAATTATCACCCCCCCCGCCCCAATGTAGAGAACCACCCCTTGTTAGCTGTTTGCATAACTTCATAAAGTTGGTAATAAGCCTACATCACAATGACCCTGGATAGTAGACGACATTTACGAGATTGAGAATTTCACGGTGGTAAAAGATGGCGCCTCGGACTTATGGGTTTTGATTACGCGAAGCGTCGAACATGTTCTCCAAGACGAACGTATCAGCTTCATCTTCAGGATCGAAAGAGTTGGAGGCAATAATTTTCGAAAAATTTTATTAAGCACCTACAAGACACGGATAATATATAATTCACACACACACACAAATCAAAATTCCATACATTGGTCCAGTACCCTGAGTGTGGGAGGCACCCGGTTCAAATCTTAGTCGGGGCACAGGCTACCCTCATGTTTATTTTTGGATTTTCCTTCTTCCTTGTAGACGTACTTACCGGACCCTTAGTATTTATCATATTATATTCACATCCGATTAGAAATTGTTGACCTCAGCAGTTATTTTAGGATCTCTTAACGATAAAATGATTGCCTAAAGTTAATATCATCTTCAAATACATTTAATATCTAATTTTACTTTATACACTTCGTTATATTTGATCAACGTATTAACTTTCAGAAGGACCACATTTGTTAATATTCTATCAACGACTTTCTCTCATTTTTTATTTATTAATCATTATTAACAATAACAAAACATGTTATTTTTAATAATTATTAATAAATATCTTTTTCGGTGTCTAGTAACCAGTATACGGAAAAATACCGTGTTATAAAGAATGAAAATAAACCCTTTGAAATGCGGCAACGGATCGCCAGAATTTATAAGCAGAACCACCTCTGATCAAGCCACATGAAACGTCCATGTGAGAAACATTTCTCACTTAAATCAATTCCCACTTCTAAAGACTTAACGTGAGCGTTGTTGAGTTACCTAGCGATATGTATAATACCATATTCACCGGGATTCCAACGTACGACAGATTTTCAGTGCTGTAACCTCTACAGCTGGAATATAATTGTCGTAGGAAACAATTTCGTCTTGGCGTCGTATTTCTGTCGAGTTTATAGTTTCAATGTAACAAAAACCACCCCATCGACACTCGAGCCCAGAACATTTTCTCCGGGTTTTGGCCTTTACAAGGCATAAGGACGCCAAGTTTGGGGCAAATTCGTGTTATCTGTTCTGGAGCTACAAGGAAACACACAAAAACATATGGACCTGCATACACCTATAATTTAAAATTTGTATACGTCTAGAAGATAAGGATGTAATCAAATATAAAATAAAGTGAAATTGAGGTTGATGTAGTCACACACTTCCCGCATGGCGGCGTCTCTGATTATAAAACCTAATACCAAAACGACTTAACATAAAACCAGTAAAGCCTTCGTGTAGGATTTACTACCAATAAAGTTAAAGGCTAAACTTGTGAGAGACGCTCAGCGTCGGCGTCACATTCCTGCACCCCAGCGCAACTGTTTCTTTGAATGTTCCATTAACATTTTCACGAAGGAAAATAAAGCTTCAAAAATCATAAACAAAATAGAAATTACATGTACTCCAGATTGAAGCAAAAACTTACGTTCGTATTAATTTAGGACGCACGTGTTAAATCTTAGCGGAATAAACATTGCATGTTCCGGAATTATGATAATCAAAGAAGCAGGATTTCTGCTAACACGAAGCGAATAATTACGTGATGTTTCAGAAAAGGGGAAATTGATAAAAATAACCGTGCTTATTAATACGATCAAAGTGAAAATGAGAGTCGCCAAAAACGCACAATACTCTCAATTCTAAGACAGAACAAAATACTAAGTTAAGTAACTTAAAGTTTTATTTATTTTTTATTTTATTTATTTAGTGTTCTGTCTGACGACAGGCGACAGGTCCATATGGACAGGATCCTTCCATCCTTTTCTCTTCTCGGACTGGGACCTGTTCATATACGTTCTTGGCAGATGATCCAGAAGTGGTTTGCCATTGCCTTCTTCTGGGGGTGAATGGAGTAATTGTTGGGATGCCACGGAGGAAAACTCCGTGTTGCCTAGACCAAGGCCTTGCCCAACACAAGTTATAAATGCGGGCACCGCCGGGAATCGAACCCGAAACCCCAGGATTACAAGGCCAGCGTTACGCCAGGGAAGCTTAGGTCCTTCGTAAGTGACATCTTTTGATTTGTGACCTTAATGTTCTGACCTTCGAAACCGCACGTTATAGCTGTCGGA